ATAGTAGTGAGATAGTGATTTTTCTTCTTTAGTAACTCATAGACTCTGACTAAACATGGCGGATCACACACATGTGTTTATCCCTACTCCCTCCCAAAACTCCATCAGAACAACGGTAAATGAATAAGAAGGTATAAATTCACAAGGAGAAGGGAAATGGGAGAGCAGACAATCACGGACGAGACACAGGACGCGTTCCACAAGACTGCAGGGAAGGAACCATTGTAGCTACCTGAGCTAACAACAGCCAAGGGTCTTTCTGGGGCCCCCAGAGCACATTGCAAAGGAAGCTGGTAGCTCCATGTGGAGATCCATGGCAGGGGTGAATAGGGACGGGAAGAAAATCTGTGCCAAACACTGGGCCATCAGTCACTAGGGATTTGGGAAGGTAAATGAGACCCTGTTTGGGGCAATTAGCTTAGGGCCTGGAGCCAGAGAAATGGCGGGGCTGGTTCCTGGCCCACCGAGTCCCTGAGCTTGTTCATATTTGCTCAGGATGCATGGGAGTTGAGCAATATTTGGATAGTTTTTCCCCCATCCCACACTAGCCTTATGAATTCCATCACACCCTTCTGCCCTGCCTGCAGGTTCCCAAGAGCCCACGTGAGACCCCTGAATTTCTCACCACCAAGGATGGGACACGCAGGATCAAGACCGAACATGTGTGCTGGTTAGAGAGGCTGGTGGACCCCAGACTCATCTCTGACAGAGATGCCTTCCTTCTCGGTGTGGTTTTAGGGCTTGGGAGGCAGGGGAAGGGGTGAAATGACTCCTCAAGGTCTCATTGGGTTTGAAGATGTCTATATTTCTGGGAAGAATTTCCTGAAATGTGTGTCTGAGAATGCTGGGGACTGGTCACCCAGGAGGGGCCAAAGAAGAGGGCAGCCCTACATGAGGCAGGACTGGGGGTGGGGCAGGCAGGGCAGCTCCATATCCCATGGAGGAGAGGCTGCACCAAGACCACCAGATGCTTGGGCTCCTTGGCCAGGGGACCGGGAGGGGAGGGCGGTTCTGTCAGGGTTGGCCAGGGTTGGGGTCAAGGTCTGGCGGCAAGATCCTGGCTGGGAGGCCTGTGGGTGGATGGGAGGGAGGTCTCAGAGGGCTGGCTGCCAGGAGGCCAGTCCTAATGGGGTGGGGAGGAGCCTTGGGCAGGCTGGGAGCTGGAGGGGCCCAGGGGGTGGGAGTGGGAGGAGATGGGGGCCGTCCGGAGGAGGTGGGGGCAGGAAGAGGCTGACAGCCTGGCCTCTAGTCAGCCACGGGAAGCAGAGACCCCAAGGCACAGGAGAGGAGGTGAGGAGGGGAGAGTGGGCCAGGGAGGCAGCTGGGTGGAAGAAGACAAGCCAAAAGGAGCAGCTCCAAGGGTGAGATCTGTCAATCCCTCCGTAAACCCTTGCTGTAAGGCAACGCCCTGGTATCTCTCCCTGAGGGGGCCTCCGTTTCCACATCTGTAGCTTTCTGGTCCTAAGACCACCCCTACACACAGAGTTCTTGGGGTGAATGCGTGCCTCGGGCAACCCAGGCATGGATTAGGGGACAGGATCAGAAGGGCTGGGAGAGGGGTGGTGGGGAAGGCCCCAGAAAAGAAGTTAAGGGAGGGAGGAACTGCCTAAGAAGAAAGCCATGTGGGGCTGAGGTGAGACCCCGGTGTCCGGGGTCAGGGGTAGGGCCAATGATCAGGAGCAGCCCCAGCACAGGGAGGGTTAAGCATCCTCCCAGTTCCCACCCCGCTCTGGGCCCCTCCCATGTGTTTACGTCCTCCCAAAAATATTCGGCCTCCAGGCCTCCAGCTGGCCTCCATTCTCTATCCTGCCCCTCCCCCTTGAGTTAGCCTTGGGGGACAAAGGGGGTGCCAGGGCCAGGGTTCCCAGGCCCCGGAGGGAGCCCGCAGGCTCAGAGTGCTGGGGGAGAAGCAGACCTGGAGAGGCTGAGTGGGGGAAGCCAAGGGGGACTCTGAGGGCAGCAGGCAGGAAAGGGGATCAGAGACACAGTGGGGGAGAAAGAACAGGCCAGAAAAGGGTGAGGGGGAAGGGTGAGCGTGGGCAACAGGAGGGCTTCCCAGGCTGTTGGCCTGAGGACAAAAGCCAACTCAGCACCTACCCAGGACAAGGCCAAACATGGGCTGAGCTGGGCCCAGGGAACAGTGGGGGGCAGGGTAGGGAGGAATGCAAGGACCAGGGGAATACCAGGGGGATCTCTGACTGAAGGGCCACTTCCTGTCCCTCCAACCTCAGCCCAGAGCTCTGTCAGGCACCCCCCTGCCCCCCCCACCCCCCAGCTGCAGGGCCAGGGAGTTGGTGGCTCCGCTGGCTGGCATGAAGAGCTGAGGCCTGAACGCTCTCGGCAGGGCCGGGGTGACCGAGGTGACGCCATGTGGCAGCTGCTGATGTCTCTAGCCCTGTGGCTGGGCGCGGTGGGCTTGGGCAGAGCCGAGCTCACAGCGGCACAGCAGCGGGGCCTGCAGGTGGCCCTGGAAGAATTTCACAAGCACCCGCCCGTTCAGTGGGCCTTCAAGAAGACCAGTATGGACAATGCCACGGAAACGGTTAGCGGCATCGCCTGGGGAAGGAAGGGGGTTAGGGCCACAAGCACGTTCCCAGGAAGCCCGTGCAATAGCGCTTGGGCTCGAAGAGCACCCAGTTCTCCGGGGAGAGGCCAACACCGCAGGCCCCTTTTCAGATGTGCTGTTTCATGGGTGGGGGGGGTGGGGAGGAGGGACAGGTCACATCGAGGAATTGCTCTGCCCACTCAGCTGGCTGCTGGCCTTTCGCTGTCCGTGTGCAGCCCTTCCCTGCAGGGACCTTTGTGAGGCTGGAATTTAAGCTCCAGCAGACGAGCTGCCGGAAGAAGGACTGGAAAAAAGCGGAGTGCAAAATCAAGCCCAACGGGGTGAGTGAAGACCTGTGTGTGTGTGTGTGTGTGAGAGAGAGAGAGAGAGATGGGGCATTTATTTGTTCAGCGCGAGGGTATGTAGTTGGGGTTCAGGAAGAGAGCCAGCAAGAAGGCCCGAGGTTGGGACACTGGTCGCATTGGTCGCACTGTGGAGCAGCCTCTCTGGAAGCGGACCTGGCTCAGTCTGAGCCTGGGCTTGTGATGCTGTGGGCGGCCGGGGCTGGGACAGGCAACGGCGGGGAGGGCTGGGCTACTCTGAGGACATATGTTCTTCAGAGAGAGTCCTCTTCCCACCCGGACTCCTCTCTCAGGCTTCAGATCAGTGGTGGAGGAAGCCCACGGCATGGGGTTTGGCTGGCTCCCACGCCAGGCCTGGTGAACTCCCCCCTTTCTGTGAGTCTTCGCGTACAGATGGCCCAGCCTGGGCTGACTCATAACAGGGCTTGACTGTAATCGGCCCCCTTGGGGGCATAACCGCTGCCGAGGGGGAGCCCCCAGTCCCAGCTGTTCCAAGCACCAGTCTGTGACTCAGTAGGTTCTTTGAAGGCCTATTCCCTCCGTCTGTTAAGGGAGGGACTGGATTGTATCAGTGACTTTCCAGACTTTTATGTCAGGACCCTTGTGTTCATACCATATCTTTTAAGAACACGCAAATAAATATAATAGACCAGCAGAGTGGCTCGAGGTGAAAGTCAGGTGGGGAGAATCCATCTGGGGAAGGAGTCCTGCCTACACACACGTTCTATAGCTTGAAAACTGCAGGATGGGCTGACGTCTGAAATCTCCCAGTCCCCGGGTGGGCTGCGCCAGAAGCCAGTTGGCCCGCATGACCCCTCACCTCTCCGCTCTAGGGCCTGCCAGGGGAGCCGGTCCCCATTGCAGTAGCCCCCAGCTTCCACCCCTGGTGGGGCCGCACGCCTGCCCTGACCTCTTTCCTCTCCCGGCCCCATGCTCCCCTCCCCAGAGGAAGCGGAAATGCCTGGCCTGCATCAAGCTGAACTCTGCAGATAAGGTCCTCGGCCGGATGGTCCACTGCCCCATACACACGCAGGTTCACCGGGTAAGAGTGGGCAGAGGAGGAGGCGGGGAGGCTGGGGAAGAGGCTGGGAAGATGGAGAAGCTGGGCCTGTAGGACAGGTCAGAGGCGAAGCATGGACTGAAGTGTACAGAGGGTGAGGTGGGTGAGAGGGGTGAGGAGGATGAGGAGCAAGTAGGGGGGTGAGGAGGGGCAAGGGGGTATGAGACAAGAGGAGAGGAGAGAGGAGGAGGTGAGAGGTGAGAAGGGGTGAGGAGGGGACAAGGAAGCTGGGAGGGCTGAGGAGGGGTGAGGACGGGTTCTGGGCCTGGCCCCACTATTCCCTAAGGGATGTGGAGGTGGGTGCCAAAGAGGATGCAGGCACCGTCCCCAGGGGCACCCTCCACGGGGACACCCTCCCCGGACCCTGCTGGCCCCTCGGGCCTGAGCAGCCACTGGCTCTGGCAGGAGCCTGAGGAGCACGAGGAGACTCAGTGTGACAGGGTGGCGCATGCAGGCGAGGACCCCCACAGCTACTACTTCCCAGGACAGTTCGCCTTCTTCAAGGCCCTGCCCCCCAGCTGAGGCCTGATGGTAGGTGCCCAGGACAAGGGGGACGGAACGGAGCTGGGACAGCGCTCGCGTGTTTGGGGATGGAAGCTGGGCCAGTGTGGGGCTGAGGGCGGCGGTGGGGGAAGGATTCAGAGCCTGGGAAAAGAGCTTGGACTGACCCAAACAGCCTCCCTCACACCCAAGTCTTAGGTTTCTTTTTCCTTTCCTCTAGAAGTTTGTCCCGCTCCCGGGACAGCTGCAGGAGGTAACCAGTGAAAGACCGACCTGCCGTCCCTGAGCCCAGGGAGGACAATCCCATTATCCCCGAGCTAATAAACCGCTCTCCCAGACTCGTTCTCTCCTCCTCTTGCATGCCCCCTTCGCCTCAGCCCTGCTGTAGGAGCGCGGTCTTGCAGGAGGAGCAGGAGACTTCCTGCCCACCGCCCAGGAAACCGGAGACCAGGCGCCGCAGAGACCTCGTCTTGCCTTCAGGCACTCATGCTTGGGAAAACAAAGCTCACCCACGGAAAATGATAGGCAGTGATGCTTATTAGAACAGAAAGATTTAATAGGGATCAACATGCGTGAGAACGGGCAACGAGGGCTCCAGGGTGACACAGGACGGGGCCACCAGAGCAGAGGGTCACTGGGACAGGCAACTTTGGAAGGTGGGCCAACACCAGCTTCCCGGCTCTGCCCCCTCCTCTCCCAGGACCGGCTGGGCCAGCGTACACCCCATCCCTGCCTTTCTCACCTCTAGCCTTAGGAAGAAGCAACTCTCTTCCCCTGAGCCTCAGACCAAGCGGCCGGTGGATGGGGGGGGCAGCGGCTGTGGACGCGGCTGCGCGCGGACCCTCCCTCCCAGGCTCACGGCGGAGGTGGCGGGACGGCCTCACGCTCTGCCGGCTGCTTGAGCAGGGCCCTTACCCCTGCTAGAGGCCACTGGGGAGGCGCGTCCTTGAACTATGTGCAGGGAGATGTGGAATTTTCCGGAAGGAGCGGGGGTGGGGGGGGCACTGCTCTTAGCAACACGTAGAAAACAGAGCCTGGTCTGCAGGCCCCGTGGCCAGCGTGATGAAACTGAAGACATGCACCAAAGCCGGGCGGCAGATGCGGGCAGCCAGGCCACAGTGTGCCCAGCCGTCACAGGCCACGGGCATACTCAAAACACAAAGGACGAGGTGGTGCCTGCAGGGCTGAGCGCCCGCTCGGCCTGGGCCAGGCTGTCGTTGGCCTGGCGGTCCAGGTCATGGCACTCCTGCAGGGCGTGCTGGAACTGCCGGCAGGCCTCCTCCAGGATGGAGCTGCTCCGGGTGGGCCTCGACTCCCAGTAGCCCGGCTCTACCCAGGGCTGGGCCTCCGTGGCTCGGGGGCCGGGGCTGGAGCCGGGGCGCAGGGAGCTGTCCAGGTCGCGGCACAGCTGGTAGAACTCACTGCCCCGCCCGCTCACGCGCTCGCCGTCGATGACCTTCAGGCCGGGGAGCAGCTCTCGGACGGCCGCCCAGTAGGAAGGGCTGGTGCACAGCGGGTTGCTGAGCCGGGCCAAGGGGTCCCGGAGCCGCAGGTACTCGAGGCCCCGCAGGCCAGCCAGACACTGCAGCTGGCCGGGGGTGGCCAGCAGGTTGCCCGCGGCGTTGAGACTCTGCAGGCTCTCGCAGGCGCCCAGCGGCTCCAGCCCCGTCAGCCGGTTGTCGGCCACGTTGAGCACCGCCAGCTGGCGCAAGCAGGCCAGTGGGCCCAGCTGGGTGAGCGCATTGCCCGACAGGTCCAGCCACTCGAGCCCCAGGCACTCCCCCAGGCAGCCCAGGTCCACCAGCCCCAGGCCCCGGAGCTTCAGCAGCAGGATGGACTCGAGGGCGAACTCACCCGAGCGAGACTTGAGCAGCTGGGGCGTGACACGCACCCCGTCTGCCTCTGCCAGCTTCTCACCCTGGGGCTCCATCGGATGAAGTCTGTCTGGGAGGCCGGGGCCCTGGCGGTTCTGGCTCGGGGACGCGGGCGCCACTGGGGGTCGGCTGACGGCTCGCCCCGAAAAAGGCACCATCCCCTCTGCCTGGGCCAGCGCCGGAGGCCCGTTTCCGACACCCCTGCTCGCGGGCCAGTGGGCTCCTACGGAGAGACAATCACACAGTAAGCGGGCCTCTCCTGAGCACCCCCTGAGCCCGCAGCAGATGACAGCATGAGGTGTCGCCCAGCCTCTCCCACCGGGCCGGCCCGGCCAGACCCGAGGACACAGAGCCCTCCTGAGGGAGGGGGGCCAGGCTCCGGCCCCCACCTAAGGGAACCCCTGACAGGCTCCAGCAGTTACGGCTGTACTGGATGGAATTCGGGTGCCATGTGACCGATCCTTCCCATTTTCCGTATCTGCACCGGGAGGCAAAATCTCTTCATTTTCCTTTTTTGGTACCGGCTCATGATCTCTCCTTAGTAATTCTGAGGTGTTTCTTTTCAAGCATTTCAATTAATTCCTGAATAGCTAACAGGTCACCACCACCAACCACCTCTTCGGTTTCCTTCCATATGCAGACACAGAGGACAGCATGCCGGGCCTCACTTCGTTCTCTCAAAAATGTCCTCGGCTCAGTGCTTTTTTTTAACATGAGCAATGAATTCAAAATGGTTTCCAGATTGCGTGGGCCGACTTGTAACCTCTGCTTGTGGTCGTGGGGCCTGGAGGCTCAGCTCTCCGCCCAAGATGGGGAGACTGAGGTCGAGGGAAGGAGGTGGCAGCACGGGCAGTCCCGAGGCCGCCACCACCCGCCCTCAGCCCCAGCGGCTGCCGCACTAGCTCTTCACTCTGGCGCCGACAGAAGGGCGTCGATCCCCGTCTGCCAGGCAGCGCGGGCTAGGGTTAGCCAGAGAAGGTAAGCAGGGCAGAAGGCCAGGCAAAGAAGCCATGCTGGAGGGAAGGACCTGGCTAGCACCTAGGTTCCAGAAAGGCAGGGGAGGGAGGGCCTTTCCAGGCACCAGTGGCTGGGGGCGGCATGAGGCCAGGTGCTAGTGCGAGGGAGGAGGCCTGGGGGAAGGATAGCAGCAATGCCGCCCACAGAGGGGTCAAGGTTTCAGCAGAGAGGAAAACAAGAAGGGATCTCTGTTCCAAGTGGCAGCCTCCCAACCCTGCAGACTCGGGCCAGGCCTGGGCCAGGCAGGGTGACGCCTGCAAAGAACCATAGGATTATTCACTCCTGCTGTTTATAAAACCTGGGCTCCAGGGTATCAACGAGTCCCAAGTCTGCATTTACATAATCCACACCACTTTTTATTTCCCTCTCTGAGGGAGATTTCCCTCACCAGGCCCAGAGTTCCTCCCCCTCCCCCAGCCCCTCCCCCCATCTCTGAGCAGGGGGTCCCCTCATCTTAACCTAGCTCCCCTCTATTCTGCAACACTCCTTCATTTCTACTTCATTTCTTTCCAAAAGCGATTCGAGGCATCCACTAAGAAGTCTGGGTCACTGTATTCGAACGGGACCTGCTAGGGCTTGTAAGCAGCGAGAGGGGGTTAAAACTGCTGCCCATGGGGGGAAGGGGTGCAAGAAGGGCACCAGGTACCAGAAGCCTGCCATAAACACTAGGGAGACAAGGCCTTCACCAAAGGTAGTGAGCGCTGGAGAGGAGCGCTCTCTGGAGTCTAGAACAACTTCCAAGGATCTAGTCACATTACTGGATACATGTGGGACACACAGGACAGGCAGGGGGGCAAGAAGACATCCAGTTTGAGATGACTGTGTGCATCGGGCCTAGGAGGCAGTTGGAGCTCTAGGCTGAAGGGATTCAAGCGTTATCTGCAGAGGTGCCCAGTGGGAATGTGCGGCTCACTGGGCCAGCCTTTCCGGGGGACACAGACCTCTTTAGGTATTTGAAGGCCTCTCTCCAGGATGATGCAGAGCCTCCCTAGCCACACACTATTTTGGGGGTGAAAGTGGTCAGGAGGCCCTGGCGTCCAGTGAAAAGGAGCAGTCATGGGCCGACGTCGAGAGAATACCACATTTATGAGGCTGAATGGAGGGCACTGACGAGCAGCCAGAGGGAGGCGAGTGAGGACACAGCGAGGGACACTGTGTGAAAATGCCCACTGGACTGAGGAGGCTGCTGGGTGGAGCAGCGTCAGGCGGAGGCAAGCCCACACCCCAAGCATGATGGTCAGGGAGTGATGCCCCGAGGAACGGGCTCAGTGACCTCAGGGACCGTCTGGATGGAGGTGGCCGCTGTGGCGGGAAAGGACAAGGGGACCAGAACGGGGTGGGGGGGGGGAGGGAACTGTACGTGCTCCCCACATTAAAGCTGGGAGGAACACTTTTGCAGAAGAGGAAACAGAGGAGCCAAGAGCACATTCACTGGAAATCGGGACTTCCGTGCCCCAAAGCCCTGCCTGGCAGGGGACCACAACCCTCCGACCCACAGCTCTGCGCCTCCCACCCCGGGCCCCCGGCCCTCGCCGGTGACAACACTGCACAGTCACCAAGGTGAAACACGGGTTCTCCAGCCGATGGACCTCTGCTCTGCTCCCGGTCCCACCTTACCTGACATCTGCACACCTCAACCAGGCAGGTGTGGGCGTGACCGAGCCGCCCCCCGAGCCGTGCAAACCCAGCTCCCACAGAGGCCGGCAGCACAGAGCAGGCCCCGCAGGATGGAATGGCTCCTCCACACCCAGCTGCTTCAGCGTTCCTCTCTAAAGAACCAGAGTCCTCCTATCCTGGCCCTGCCGTGGAAAGGAGCGCACAGAGGCTCCAGGGCCCACGTGTGTCTGCCAACAGGGCTTGGTTACGTGGATGAGACTAGGACGAAGGCACAGCCGCCGCTCGGCTTTCCTGCGGGACGCCTGTCTTCCCTTGTTCAGGACTGCCTTTGCCAAGTCTCAGTTACCTACCTAGGGAGTGGGCCGGGAAAGGACGCCCACGAGCCGGCCAGGGCAGGCCAGAGCTCTGTCCCGGGGAGAGGTGGTCAACGCAGAGCAGCCTCAAGTGCGGGCTCCCGCTGCTGCAGGGAGCCTGGAGACCCCTCCTCAGGCCTGTCCCTCCCGCCCCCATTCACAGTGCAGGTCAGGGCTCTTTACCTCCGCACTGCCGCCACTCGAGAGCGGATACGTTATCCTGTGCCTTGGAGGATGTTCGGCAGCATCCGTTTGCCTCCCACGAGAGGACAGGAGCAATCCCACCAACAAGCCGTGACAGTCAATGTCTCCAAACATTGACAAATGTCCCCTGAGGGACAAAACCGCATCCCCCACCCCCACCCCAAGAGCTACTGCTTGGGACCAGCAAGCTTCTCTGTCACCCTCTTCCACTCCCCAACTCCCACACGCTCCTGCCCCTGCTGCCTAGCCCCTCTCGCCTGCCAACACTGCAAAGCCGGCTCAGTGACACCACACAGCGGGGACAGCTCAGGGGACCGCAGTGCAGGGCAACATGCCCCCCCACCACGGCGACTTTAGGGCACCTCACATTCCTGCCTCCCACCCCACGTACTGAGTCAGAATCTGGGAGGGAGGTACAGGACGCCGCAGAGCTGAGAGCAGCGGGGAGAGGCCCAGGGCCACGCTCTGACCTTACCACCCAGCTGCACTGGGTTTGGAGTTAGGGACGTCAGAGGTGCAGCCATCATCCAGGGCCCCCCGCGACAAACCTCCCCTCCAGTCCCAGGGGAGCCTAGAACAGCTTGGGGCGGGGGGTGGGCGGGCAGGGAGATGTGACCTAAGCAATTTGGAGGCCAGACTTTAAATCATGCTACTCCGACCATTAAATATGATCTTTACAAACCTTTATTTAAGAAAGAAGACGAGGTAATTATGAAAATACAACATACTCAACAGGACAGGGAGCACAATCCCAAGGTTAAAAAAACAAAGTATGCCCCAGTATTAACAAGACTATCTGAGTGCAAGGATTATGGCTAATTTTTCCTGCTTCCTTACATCATCAGTAACTTCCACATGTCCGACAGTTAATTACTCGTAGCGACACATGACTGCCAACCCTTCCAAGGGAGGTCAGGGGACAGGCGTCCCAGGCTCACCCCCGCAGCCGGGGCCCAAGCCCAGGTGAGACCTCGAGTGCCTCGCCCCACCTCCGCCTACCGGCCTTCCCTCTCAGAGCCCACCCTTCCGGCACCCAAGCACCTCAGGAGAGCCAGGTGTGCGTTGTGCGCGGGGTGACAGGCCTGCCGCCTAATCCTCCGGCCTCTCCCTTTCCCTCTTTCCTCACCCGATCCCACCAGCTCCTGGGGCTTGCGCACTCAGCTCTGGACCCTGCCCTGAAGGCACTCTGGGCAGTCTGGCACCAGTGGGCCTGATACACATCCTTTTGTGCTTCCAGGGAGAGGATTTGCCCTTTGCAAGTGACCAGGGAAAAGGGGAGGTGTGGGCGCTGCAGGAGGGATATACATGTAGCTACCTAGAGCCTGGATAGCCGTGAAGCTCTTTCGGAGACTGCTTTCACTGTAGAAAGGAAGAAACCCCAGGGTCTCCAGCAGTCTGGAAACAAACCATGGGTAAGAGGGCCGTTCTGAGGACTGGGTCCATCGGCCGTCCGCAACTCACACCTCCTCACCGGCTGGGCAGTCCCATCAGCTGGGGTGCTCTGGCCACTCTGGCATCCACGAGAAAGTACCGACCCCAAGAAGACTGGTGCGTGCGTGTGTGCATACGCTTCCCTCTTAACACGGCTACTCTACTTCAGGGCTTCTTTCTTCTACAGTGAAAGCAACTGTGGCAAAAAGCTTCCATAGCTTAGCAGGCCCTAGCTGGTTGAGCAGATTTCCCACCTGCCAGCACCCATGCCTCTTCTTGTCCCTCGTCACTTTTTGAGAAAGCAGAGCTCTTAAGGGCACGAGACGTACACGGACAAGTTGCACGGGCCCTTACTACCCACCAACACTGCGAAAGGGCGCTGCAGCTTAGAGAAGTGTGCAGTACAACTTCCCAGTCACTTCTGGACACAGTTAACCTTTCCTATGCACAAACTGCTAGAAATAAATGAAGCAGTGGGTGGATGGAAAAACACCATCTCCCTGGGGGAAAAGGCAACCTGTCAAGAATTGAGAAACTGTCCTTATTCCTTCCAAACAGGTTTAGGACTCCAGCCATCCCCGTCTAACGCCCTAGAGTGCACATTCTGCTCTCCCCCCTGAGCCCAGGCACAGTTCCCACAGGCAGACTTTCAGGGAGTCAGACGGAGGTCCGCCTTGCTGGTCTGCTCCCCCTCGGCCAGGTCTCCACGGGGGAAGAGGAGGGGAGGGGCGATGTAGTTGGGGAAATTCTCCAGGTTGGTCTTCAAGAAGAGGAGACGCTCAACGGTCTCCACTGGGAGAGGGGCACTGGGCTGCACAAAGGCAGGGCTGTCCAGGGAGGCACAGACACTTCCAGAGAAGGCCCCTGTTGGGGGACAGGACAGATAGACAGTGGCCAGTCTTGCCAGAGCTGGCCAGACCTCCTGCCTCTTCTCCCAGTAAACCAGCGGGTCCTCCTGGGCGCCAATTGTCTCATTCTCACGCAGGTACTTCTTGACGATGATGCTGGCCAGGTGGCTCTCGGTGGACAGGGAGGCCCCGCTTCTCTTGGACGCTAGCAGCCCCACACTTTCCAGCTGCTCCAGCAAGCTCCTCTCCTTCTGGCCGAGCAGCAGAGACCCAGAGCTGCTTCTGTGTGCAGGCTCTTTCCGGCCCTTCCCCTCGGCCCCAAGGCTCCTGGCGCCCGCATGCATGCTCTTGTTGGGGCCGTGCGGGGAGGGGGAGGGAGGCGGGGAGGGGGAGGGAGGCAAGGAGTATTCGGACACCATGATCTCCTTCACCTTGTACACAAGAACTTGCTTCCAGTGGTCGATGTCGGCCCCCGTGGGCAGGATGGCCTCGATCTTGCCCTTGAAGCGGGGGTCAAGCAGGGTCGCCAGCACGAACTCCTTGCGGTGGAAGAGCTCGTTGAGCCGGCAGTCTGTGGCGAGCTGCAGGGCCAAGCCCTTGGCCAGCCGGACGGCGGCACCCACCTCCGCACCGCCCTGCTCCTCCAAGTGCCGCTGCACCTGCTCCAGGAGGATGTGCAGGTAACGGAGCTGCGGCAGCACTTGGCTCAAGGACGCCTGCGCGGCGCTCGCCTCCCGGACCGCCGTCTGGAAGGGCTGCAGGAGCGTGACCAGACTGTCCGTCAGGCTCCAGAACGCGGGCGACAGGGCGGCGCCGGCCTTGCCCAGCTGGTGCTTCGCCTCGTACTCCCGCAGCGGCCGCTGCTGCGCCACCAGCCACTCCATCAAGCGGTAGGCGGACCCCCAGTGGTCTGAGAGCTCCCAAAAGGGCTGGTGGGCCGGGAGGCCGCACTGCCGCTGCAGCCGGGTCAGGAGGCGCCGGGCCCCTGCAGAGCCTTGGAAATGGCTGCAGATGGCCCTGACCGTACCCAGGACGATCTGGACGCTCTGATGGTGACGCAGGAAGTTTGTCACCAGGGAGTCGAGGCAGTGGGCAAAGCAGGGGAGGTGGGTGTAGCCCTCCGTCCTCACTGCCTGCTCCAGGCTGAGGCAGCTGCCCGATACCAGGAAGCCGGGTCGCAGGGAGCTTCGGCTGAGCCACAGGCTCACCTGCTCCCGCAGCTCCCGCTGCCTCTCCTCTGCAGTGCTCTCCCGGGGCAGGCCTCGAACCCAGAGCACGGCGTGCTTCCTCGGGCTCTCCGCCGCCGCCAGCCGACCGCCCGGCCGTATCGCTCCCCAGTGGGCACTGACGGCCACATAGTCCACATCTGCGTCCTGGGCGGCAGCGGACATGGTGAGGTGGACGCAGCTGCCCTCGGCCCACTGCATCTCCCGACACACCTGCTCGCCGACCGCTTCACGGAGCAGAGGCAAGGCTTTATCGGAGAAGAAGGCCGGAGGCGGCACGCGGTAGCAAGGGTCGGCCTGGGCCATAAACCTTCTGAAAGGCAGGGACGAAACAAAGGAGAGCGGCAACGCCAGGCCACAGAGCAACTCCGTGATGCCGTGGTTCCAGGCCTGCGCTCGGGGCGGGCAGGGGGCAGCGGCGCCACCCTGGCCCTCCGTGACCGCCAGCGGGAGCGCGGCAGGTTCATCTTTGGTGGAAGCGGGCAAGAGTGGTGGAGCCGGGAACAGCTGCTCGGGGGAGGCATCGGGGCAGCGTCCTGGCGAGGGGAGCCCCTCGGGGGCAAGGCTAGCAGCGCTGGCGGGCAGGCCCTTGTGCTTTTTGTCCCCAGTCCCTCCCCTCTTCTCCCCTGGGCTGGCTGCGGTCGGCCTTCTCTCTCTCTCCAGCCCATGCTTACTCACCAAGTGGTGGACCAGGCCTGAGGCCTGGAAATGCCCCTTCAATTTGCCGTGCCTGACACTGGCATGACACAGAGTGCAGGGGACAGGGCAGACGTTCTTGCAGTCAGTGGTAAAGAGCTGTCTGATATCGGACGCGGGCTTCGGACCCACGGCGTCCAGAGCGCCGGAAGAATGCCTGGGGAAGGCCCAGCCCTTGGTCTCTGCCTTCAGAGTCCTGACCAGCTTCTTCAGGCAGGGCGGCTTCTGGAGGCTCACCAGGGATGATGTCTCCCCGACAGCAGCAAGCAAATGCCTCTTCTTCCACTTCTTGAGGCGCCGCACCTCCCTGGCCAGATGGGCTATGAGGACGTCAGCCTGCTTTACCTTCTCGCTCTCAATGGGCTGGCCCACCTTGGACCTGTCCGGACTGGCCGCCTGGACCGGCGCTGGGGTCAAGGGGGACTGGCCAGAGCTGAGCACTGGGTCTCTCGACTTCTTCAGTGTCAGCTCTCCCTCCTCTCTCTGTCCACGTGCCTTCTGTTTGGACACCTTCTTCTCAGGCTGCCCAGGGGGCTCCGGCCCAAGCACAGATTTGAGGCTATAGAGGCCAGAGTCTCCCTTTGGCTTATTCCGCCCAGGGCTGGCCAGGCACTTTGTATGGGAGGCAGCTGCGTGAAGATCAGGGCTCCCCAGGGAGCAGGCTTTTCTCTTCTCGCTGTAGACACGGAGGCCCAGGGTGCCTTCTTCCTGCTCCTCCAGGAAAACTTGGCCAGGTAAAGGGACCGACGAGGAACTGGGGAGGGGATAAGGTCTCTTCCTTGGTAGGGGCAGATCCCTCTCACTCCCCTTTGGGGATACAGAAGATCTGATTTTCCTGTGACCACTGACGGTCCTCTCTTCTATGTCTACAAACTCTAGTTTAACCTCAGTCTCCAGCAGGCGCCCCCCAGCACCCCAGCCAAGTCCGTGAGAGGTATTGGTAGCTCTGGTGTGAAACTTGGAGCTAGGAGAAGCCAGGGGAGCAGCCGGGCTCCTGGGTCTGGTCACGGAGGAGTCAGCACACACAGGCGGCTCCAGCCCCACTGATCCTGAAGGTGTATGTCTCTTGGGGGGCTTCCTGAGTGTTTCTACTTCCAACATGCTTGGGAACTTGGGGGAAATGAGAAGATGGGCGCAGGCTGCAAAGCAAGATGAAAAGAATGGCTCTCAGCTGCCCTACTCAACTCTGGGGACCATGAGGGGGAAGGCAAGGCTGGAGGGGAGAGGAGCGAGCAGAAGATGCAGGCGTGGTGAGATCCTAGGAAATCAGCCCCAGGACAAAACTCTCAAGACCACAACCTCCTTGGTGAGGGCTGGTATTCACTCCTGCAGACTGGATGGAGCGGCCCTCAACAGGAAACCCTACAGCCCTCTGTACCTTAGCGGGCTCAACATCCCTCTGTGCCAAGCTAACTGAGGTTTCTCTCTTTTCTTTTCATGTTCACTGAGAATCTAGCAGGCACGTGGCAAGTTTCCTTTGTTGCGGATACACTAGAAGACAGGCAAAGCCCCCGTGTGACCGTGGCTTCCAGGCTGCCTGGCGAGACAGACGTGAATAAAAGACTCGTGCTCACATCATGGAAAGCTAGAGCCGCCGAGCAGGTGTGAAGGAGCGACACTTGCAGTTGTGAGACCCCAAGGAGGGGACCGACCTCGCCAAGATGCCAGGCAGGTTTCCCTGGAAGAGGTGCAAGTGCCAGGTGCTGTAAGCTCAGGCCAGGAGGGAGTGGAGCCTAGGTCTCTGCAGCCCGCGCCCCTGGGCTGTACCTGTCACCCAGCAGGGCACCAGAAGTAGGTCACGATACCAGGTACTCGGCAGTGACGCCACCAGCGGCCTTGCCAGATCTTTTGCAGTTCTTTGTCTAGAAGTCAGCCTGCACTCAGAAACACAGGACAGGAACACAGAGCAGGACAGCCCCTAAGGCCAGAGACTCATGCCCCCTTGTGTCCTGTCACTCCTCTCTCCCTGTCCCAGAAAGACTCCTGAAGGGCTGCTCACACTTCCTCACCTCCCACTCCCCTCGAAGCCTGCTCCTCTGACTCTGGCCCCCGCCACTCCCTGGCACTGCTTTTGCCAAGGCCACCAGCGTCCCCCTTGGCACCTCCTCCAATGGACTTCTCTGCAAGCGCTGGGCTGCCGGCCCACATCCTCTGTTTGGAACGCCACCTTCCTGTGGCCCTGGAGCACCCCACGTTCTTGGTTTTCCTCTCACCTGCAACTCCTTTGCAGTCTCTGGTCTGGTCCCTCTTCCTCCCGCCTGTTCCTTCCTGCTGTTGCCCATGGTTCCTGCCCAAGCCCCGTATCTCATTCTGCACACCCTCTCCAACTGGGGCCGCGTTCACACACTGACACACGGGCCTCTGTCTGGCTCCGAGACCTCTCTTCAGCTTCCCCTCTTCCACCTGCTCTTCCTACGGTCACCGCAATCTTGTCAACGGGACAGCTGTTCGCCCAGATGCTCCGACCCCAAGCCAAGGCACAATCCCAAACTCCCTTCCCTTGCTCGTTCTCCCAGAGATTAGGTCACATTCAGATCCAGGCACAACAGAAAACAGACACGAAGAAGTCAGAAAAAAAGTATGTGGAAAAGGAAGGAAAGGAAAAGCCCAGCGCTAGAATGCATTTCTCTGGACAAAGGGAGAGTCATAGGAAGGTGACCTAACAGCCCCACCACACGCATCGAAAAACAAGTGGGCTTCGTCTCCTACACCAGAATGACATATAGGCTCAACAAGATTTAAAACCAATACGTTCTGACACTGAGTGATGTTCAACATTAAGAAGAATCACCAGGGAGGGCAGGGATGGCCCGCCTTTACAGGTGGCAAGCCCACTGAGGCAGCTCCAGGAAGATTCTGCCCGTGGATGAGGGGGGGCAACGTGATGCTCATGCTGAGCCCCCATCTCAGAAGGACCAGAGGCATCACCTCGGGCCCACTGCCCAGGAACTCAGCCGCCACACCAAACGTCTGACCTCCACAGGGCACTGTGGATGGGCCGGACGAGGTCTCCAATGAGATGGGAGACACCGTCCTGGTCCCAGAAGTGCCCTGAGATGTCAGAACTGGAGTGGGCTTACCTCAGTTTGATCTTATGACTGAAGAACTGGAAATCCAGAGTGGGAGCGTGATGATCAGTGGCAGAGCGGAAGAGCAGAGCTGGCTACAGGCCTCCAGAAGCAGTCTGCAGGCATCATCCCCACTGAGAACTCAGAGCAGGCTACTGAAACCAGGCCCGCGCCAGACCTGCCTCACTGGTGACGGCCGAGGAAAGGGAAAAACCTGTGTGTTAGGACTGCAGCCGGGGCCACACCAATCCCATTCTGTTCTCCAATTAGCCTTGTCCCATCCGCACATCTGTTTTCTGTAAATACTCTCCATCCACTCGACTAGGTAACAAGAATTCCTCGGATACCTACCATCAGCCAGCACTGTGCCCTAAAGACACACATACAGGACAGGAAGCGCCCGCTGGTGCTCGGGGCTCAGGACAAGAAGACAACTTGGAAGTGGGTCCGTGACACCAGAGCGAGGCAAGGGGTGTGTGTGCCATGGAGGCCGGGCCTCAGGCTGACCTATGGATAAAATGAATCTATGACACTGGACTTTAGATTCTGTCTTGTGACAGAATCACTTACCTTAGGCTACGTTTCAGGATCCTCAACTCCTAACGGGCTCCCTGGGTAGATCTGGAGTCTTGTGTGATCACTGGCAGCGACAGTCATACCACTGCTCTCCCTTCCACTGAAGCACAGCGGGATGATGACTACGAGGCTGACGCCGTGGAGAGCCTCTACGTGAATCTAAAATGTAAAATTTGAAAAGAGAATCATTCCAAGACTCCAATACTTTGATTATTAGTAAGAAGTTACTGGTGACGTTTCTCACCATAGATGACATACGCACACCTGAGGACAGCTACAAGATGGAGACCCCCAAGGTACCCAGCAGGCAGCAGTCAGGAGAGCCGCTGCGGGGCCCTGAGAAGCAGGCCCAGCACCGGGAAGCAGGAGGCGAGGAAGACTGGAGCAGGTAATGGCAGAGGGACGGAGGCAGCGGGGACAGTTTGGAGAGCTATTTAGGAGGCAGACTATGCTTGAGTTCCGATGCAGGGGAGAACCAGGGGATAGAGAAGGACTCTCTCGTGATTCCATTTACTAACACAGTTCACTTTTGAATATATCGACTTGAGGTTCTTCTGGAACAAGCCTTTACAAGTACATGTGACAGATACAGGGTCAGGGATGCAGGGCACAGGCGGTGAGCAGGTTTATCTCTGGAGACGAGAAAGAATCTATTTTTTTCTGAGAGCAAAGAAGGAAGGCAGGCTGTGGTGCCACGCAAGCCCCTGAGTGCGGGTGGGGGAAGAAGTGTGGCAGTTCATGCCCTGGAGCCTACAGATTTCCAAGGGGAAGGTATGCGTCTCCAGAGGGAGCAGCCTGCTGGCTTAGCCCGAGATGGGAGGTGCCTCAACACTTACATGTGTGCCGGCTGCATGGATTAGGGGCTTCCCTTCCAACCACTCTTAGCAGCCCTTTTCCCATGGGCACACCCAGAAGGAAAGGAGCCACTTCTCTGTTGCTCTCGTGCCTGCCTCAGCCCAGAGGCTTGTGCAGAGCTCTGCCCACCCAGGGCATCCCATAACTATGGCACACCTTTCCCTGAGTTTCCACTGCCCAGTCCCCCTCCTGTCTCAGCTCCTGCACTGTCTATCCATCCCAGACCCCAGGAGATCGCAAAGCGCTTGCTGGGCCTTCAAGTCCTGGGCTTCTGATCCCCCCACCCACTCACCTGTGAGGAGAGGAAAGGTGGTGAGGAGAAGAATGGGAGGAGAGGCACATGTGGAAGGAAAAGAGTAGAGCAAACTACTATATATTTTTGGGGTTTGACTCACATGCAAACTCTAAGTGACATGTAATAATCGTGCATCACTGGATTTCACGTTATGCAAAAGTGACAAAACAAGACCTGTTTTAAAGTACACCCCAGGAGAACCCTTTGCTCTTTTCTGTGAGGCTACTTTCCATAACGGATTGAGAGCATGAAGTCCACGGCCGGTGTACGTGGGCTGAAATCCTGGCTGCCACCCAACAGCTCTGATCCTGCACTAGCCGGCCTCGGCTTTTTCATCGACACCACAGGGACTACAGCACCCACCCCCTAGGCTTAAGTGAGCTAAAACACGTACACGAGTGTTCCGGGGCGGTCCCTGGCACAGAGCGCCGTGCTGGACACGAACCACTGTCCAGTACAGGCTGCCTCACTGGGCGTGTTTTAGGCGCGGGGCACTGGGAACGGGCGGGCAGCTAGCCTGGGAGGGACCCAGCGGCCGTCCGAGGGGCGGAGCGGGACAGGCCAGGGCGCCCCGGTCCGTGAAATGGCACCGAAACGCCCCCTCCCCGGCTTACCTAGGCCCGCCGAGACCACGCACCCCAAGCTGCGAAGCCAGGTGCGACTCCCGCCACAGCCGACAGCTCCAAGGCAGTCGGCAGTGAGCAGCCACCTCCCCGCCGGCCACCGCGTTTCCCCCGCTAGCCGCTGCGGGAGCCTCCGGAGCCCGGGGAGGGAGCGCGGGTTCCGGGACGCGCAAGGGCTACTTCCGGGAGCGACCCTCACCCACCCCTGCCTACGGATGGTAAGCTCCTCCCGCTGGCAGCCAGCCCCCAGGGCGCAGGCGCGGCGGCCACGGCCGGAAGCGATGGGATTGCACCGACTGCCCGCCGGAAGTTGCGCGGTGTTTTCGCCGTGACTGGGACTCCTCTATACTAATTTTTTTTTTAATTTTATTTTATTATGTTAGTCACCATTCATTACATCATTAGATTTTTGATGTAGTGTTCCATGATTCATTGTTTGCATATAACACCCTGTGCTCCATTCAATATGTGCCCTCCTTAATACCCATCACCAGGCTAACCCCTCTCCCCACCCCCTCCCCTCTAGAACCCTCAGTTTGTTTCTCAGAGTCCATCGTCTCTCATGGTTCTCTCATGGTTCGTCCCTCCGTACTAAGTTAATAGCGCTGGTTAAGCGGTGTTAGTCTTTCTCCACTAACCGATCTCCAGGGTCCCTTCCCACCCGGCTCCCTGAGCCCGGGAAACTTGTGGGACTGCGACCAGCGTCTGGCGCGCACGCGCAGACAGAAGACAGCCCCAACCCCCCACCCCCGCCCAACAACTGTAATGGTCTTCCCGTCAGAGTCTCTTCCAGCCTGGAAGACTCACCCGGCCTTTCAGGAAGCCCTCCCACGGTGTCTCCCCGGGCAGTTGCCCGCTGCTTGCTGATGCCGCGAAGGCCTCGCCCACGACCCAGGGGACGTCCCTGCCCGCGTCCCCTGGGGCGCTCTCTGTCACCTCCCCAAACTGAACTGTTCAGGGGCCACAGAGGCCACGTTCCCTGGGCTGAGCAGAGACGGATCCTCCCCACTCCCCCACCCCCCAAAATGCCCACGTCTTGTCTGGCAGGTTACCTTGCGCTTCTTTCCACCTCTGGAGTCAGACGCATAGAAGGACCGAGCCTGGGGTCACTATCGGGCCCTGAGCGGTCCTACCTATTCATCTTCCCGGGGATGGTCTCCTTTTTTTCCCTCTCCTTACAGCGCCCCTCCTCTGGCCCCAGGCAAATCAACTCCAGGCTGGGTCAGTCCTCCAGTTTGGGCTAAAACCAGGACCTCTGCAACAAGAACATACATCTTAACAGTTTTTGGAGTCATTTTTAATCTTTCTCGATTCTCTCCATGCCTCAGAGATGTCTCTGTGCCAGCATCATTGTTTTCCTTTCTGTGGCTTTGCAAATCGTGACTATCATACTTCCAAATACCTGGGAGTATCCCTCTTAATACTATTTTTTTCAGTAATTTCCTGGTTATTTCTTGCCATGTTTATTTTTTCCTGAGAACTTGAAAATAAGGATGTGTATTCTAGTAACTTCCTCCCCTCCCCCAAATCTTTAGTGTTTTCATTGATACTGCATGTGTACGTTATGTCATGGATGTTTGACAGGAAACATAGAAATGCAGGCCCCAGGTATCTTTCATGGCCCTCAATCCCAGGTCCTATCAGAATGCTCACAGTGCTTGCCACTTCCTTTTCCACAGAGTGGATCAGCATGCTGTCCGTGACGGGAATAAAAACAGGCAAAGGCAGCTGAGATCCTGGCAGAGTAAAGAGTGGCATGGAACTAACGTATATAAAATTAATGTGATTAAGGGCTCCCACTTACTGGTGAGCCACTCACTTTCATCCATTCTCTTGGCTCATATTCACAATCTCTATGAGGCAGGCACTATTATCACTACACCAACTGAGCAATAAAACTGAAGGTCATAAAGATTAAGTAACTTTCACTCAACTAACAGGCGGTGGAATAAGAATTTGAACCCAGGCAGCCCAGTTCTTGCTTGTGCACTCTCAACCTTGACACTGAGCTGAGCTGCTCAGGCAACGTAAAGGGCTTCTGGGAGGCTGGGCAGAAAGAACAAAGAGAAAAATATGCTTGCTGAATCAAATCCTGCAGACCAAGGACACAGCTGTTGCACCTGGTATCACAACTGATCAAGGTCACAGCATCTGCATTTATCTTTCCAGGCCCAATGTTCTTGCTGTGTGAGCCACAGAATGCGCCGGTACAGAAACTGACCACCTCAGTGTCTCCCAGGTCTTTGTCAGGGCTGACCTTGACCTGAAAGACTGACCTTTTCAGATGAAGGGAAGAGCCTTGCTGCTATCACAACCCTTAATCCTGAGGTTAAGGAGCCAAGGTGGTAGTTCCCGTGAGCTTCTGATAATATCCATTCTAACCATCCCACCTACGATTTTCGGCGGAAGATGGTGGCAGAGTGAGCTCAAGGTTCTACTGGGCTCAGTGCAACACCAGAGCTCCCTCACTCACTTGGCCTCCGATGAGCCACCAGCTTATTGCTGGACTGCATAGCACTGGGACTAGGGTCTGCTCAGATTCCCAATAATCCCCTAAAGCTTGGGTGCTTCCTTCTCCCCAGGGTGTGGTCTGCAGGTCAGGAGCTCCAGGTCCTGCTGCGAAAGGCACACAGGGCACCTGACGCTCAGGATATCAGCTGCACTCAAGCTTTCCAACCCCCTTTCACAGGAGCTCTGGGTTGATAAACTGATTAAAATGTATCAATCATCTGAGTGGTTGATTCTAGGGCAGTGGTTCCCAATATACGAGTGGGGAGGACTTTGCCCCCATTTCAAAATGGCTAGAGACATAGATGGTTGTCAACCAGGAGCTGGGAGAAGGGATCTACTGGCATCTGGTGAGTAGAGGTCTGGGGTGCTGTTAAACATCCTCAACGCAGGGCAGTAGCCCTGGCCCCCAACAAAGAGTTATCTAGCCCAAACTATGGATAGGGCCGAAGTTGGAAAACCCTCTCTAGAGGGTTTCAGCTAGCAGAAGAACCCTTGGGAGGCTTGTTTAAAATGCAAAGTCCTGAGTTTCATCTGTGACATTCGAATCCAGCAGGCTTTGGAAGGGGACCCAGGAATCCGCATTTTCAAGCACAGCAGATAATTCTATTACGTGGACTGTATTCCATCCTGATTCCAAAACTCTGGTCCCTAGACCTGTGTGGGCCTGCCTAAGAACCACCCAGAGTGCATATTACAAGTCTGGGATCTTCACTCCATCCCTGGAGATTCTGTTGTACGCTATGTAGTTGGGTCCTAGCATTCGATGGGTTTGTTTTGTTCTGAGTGATGTCTACACAGGT